GAGGAGACAGTGGCTGTGTGACCGGTAGTGTGTTTTCTGTTTCTGGTATTGCCACGATAGATAATTTTACATTTAAATCAATAATTGATTTCTTATTCCTTTTTTTATAGGGGATCTCTACTTTGGTTTTTATAACTCTATATAACTATAGTAACCAAGAGTTAAGTTAAACGTGACACAACCTTGTGATTGGATAGTAAGTTGATAGTAATTAATCTAGTCAGTCATTGCGAGCCACCGTTTTATAGTTGTGTTCTCTAAAGCCGTGTTCGCTTGTTAACAAGACACAGGTAAACTCCAAGTCGAAATAGGCAAATCGTTTACATTTTACCCTGGGAACTTTATTACCGGTTTTAATGCAGTAATCTTTAACGGATTCGTCCTTCTTACAGTTATTAACATAGCAAACATAGCTTGCAGTTACGTCCCATTTCTTCATGCCTTCTGCGTGATCCGTATCGTTCTTCTCATGCGTGACTTTGTCCTCAACTCCTCAAAACACGCAGCAGCTCGCGTGATCAAGTTAACACTCCTCATTACAGTTCATCAGGAACCGTCTTACTCTTACCTGGACGGCCGGCTCATCTCCTCAGCTGACTTGCACCGCGCCTGATGACGTGAGGGCCGCCCTCGGCGGCAATCAGAACGGTCATCTGGGACGCGAGGCGGCACCCACGCGCTCGCACCCGTTACCCTTAAAAATAAGATTGAGAATAAAATAAAAAATAAAAAGATGAAGATTAAATGAATGTAATTAACTGAAAGTTCATAACGGCACTTAAATAAAATAATCAACGAAATTAATCGGAAATAGAAATAATAACTTAAAACTAATTCACATTAAAATAATAAAATATCTGGTCGAAATTTACTGTATATAGAAATAATAATATGGCAAAAGATTTGTTTAGATATATGAATGATGAAATATAAATAATGAATAGGGTATTAACAGGAAATATATACACAAATAAATAAGTTCACCTAATTAAAGAAAATTAAAATTACAAAATTAAGAATTAAAGTAAGAAGAAATAAAATTAATGAAATAAAATTAAATCAAGAAATAAATAATTAAATTAAATAAAATAAAGGCAATAAATAAAGATAATTTAATAAAGTAAACAATAAAATTAATAAATTAATGAAATTAATAAAATGAATGAATAAATTAAATTAATGAATTAAAAGGAAAATTGGTATAAAAGATACTTTAAATAAAAGTAAATGAAATTAAAGAAAAGGAAAGAAAATAAATTTAAATTAAAGAAGAAAAGAAAAATACATTTTATTAAAGAAGAAAGAAAAGAAAACAAAACAAATAAATTTAAATAAAAGAATTGCATTAATTTAATATGTAATGTAATAAAGTGTACCTTGAGCATGGGCAAAATAAAAAAACACATATCAACTGTGGAAGAAATGCTCACTGTTGTTAAATTCTATTATCATATATCCGAAAAATACAGTATTTATTACATTGTACAGATTAATTCTCATGAGTAACTTTTGCCTGAACAGAGTTTAATTCACTCGCTTAGATCTGAGTGTTTATGAGGCCATCCAGATGAGAAAAGGGCAGCAGTACGGCCAGCACGGGGCGCCGGCGGCAGCTTCACCTCTCTCAGGTAAGGGAGAAGACACCCCCCCAGCACCGCCGTCACCTGCAACACGCGACTCAACAACAAGCTTCACTCCTCACCGCTCTACAGAACTGACGAAGACAACAATTTATATGTATTTACACTCAGTACTAAACAAGTTTTAATAAGATCTGATTAATACACTCCTTTATTAGGTACTTTGTTTTTACAGTACAAATAAAAATAACAAAATTAAGCCTTTGTCACCTAATATTTTAACTTTTAACTCACAAAACTGAGTTAGTTTTACTTTAAAAAATCAGTTTCAACAGTTTCTTTACTTAAATGAACTCCTCTGGCTTTACAGTGAACTTAACTTCAGACATTATTATTATAATCTGATGTGCAATCAAAGCTGCAGTGGGAACAACGTGGTGGAAACAATAGAGCTTTCACCGACTCCACTGTTGCTGCAACAGGAAAGCTTAAGTCAATTAAAGAGGGTCTGATCTGTGATCAGCGTTAATCTGCAGCGAGTAAAGGTCAGCCTGCAGCAGTGAACACAGAAACTGTTAGTCTGCTGCTATAAACTGTCTCACTGACTGGATATATTTGATTTATATATATGTACAATTAGTCATTATTATAATGTAGATGTTTTCAATCTACATTATTAGTCCAGTGATTATTTCTAAGATGTTTGTCGTCACCTGGAAGGTCTGGAAGCTCACGACGGTGCCGTACCGACAGTACATGACGAAGTGTTCGCAGTTGTACCACAGCAGACTGTACGACACGTGACCCCGCAGCTTCTCCGCCCTCCTCGCCACCTCCTCGCCGTTCAGCGCCGGCCGGCTGCACACCTGGAACAAGAGAGAGAGAGAGATGTCACTACTGCTAGCACCACTACCTGCCAGCACACTGTACTGCTGAACATCTGGAACATCACCTTGTCGGAGGTGTTGACGAGTATTTCTGACCCGTAAGCGAAGTCCTCCACCGAGTCCACCCTCACGCTGCCACACTGAGACAACACACAGCGGTTAGATCACCGACGGCGTTCGTACCGATTCTCGTATCGATGATAAAGAAACATAAATGGAAACAGCTAACTGCCCCAAGAGGAGAGGAGGAGAGTCAGGAGGAGTTACCTCCTGTATTCGTTTATATAAATATATAAATATTGTTTCCTCCTCCTGCTGACGGACTAAAGAACCACCGAACTCTCAGACAGACGGTCGCTCGGTGCAGTGGAGATTCGGTACCTTGGCCAGGACTCCCAGTAGGAGCCGGCTGTTGGTCACCATCTGTCCGATCCGAGTCTGGTCGCCGGAGACGACGGGGATAATGTCTGGGATGAAATGAGCCACTCTGGAGAGGGAGAGAGGAAGACGAAGAGGAAGAGAGTGGGTGAGGAAGGAGAGAGGAAGAGGAAGAAGAGAGGAAGGAGAGAGGAAGAGGAAGAGGAAATGAGTGGGTGAGGACGGAGAGAGGAAGAGGAAGAAGAGAGGAAGGAGAGAGGAAGAGGAAGGTAAAGGAAGGAGAGAGGAAGAGGAAGGAGAAAGGAAGGAGAGAGGAAGATAAATGCTATAAATAAAATAACTCTGGTGATGAAGACACAAACCTTCCTCCTCCGAGGTAAATCCCAAAGTGAGTGAACAGAGTCCGAGGAACCTCCAGCAGGTCTCCCCTCTTCAGCAGCAGCTCATACTGTCTGTCTGTCCTCCCCTTTACCTGTCTGTCTGCCTCCCCCTGTCTGTCTGCCTCCTCCTCCCCCTGCCTCCTCTTCTTCAGGTCGGGAGTCGGTGTGGAGATGAAGATCAGAGCGAGCAGCTGCAGAGGAAACATGTTGAGAGGAGACGAGAGGAGAGAACGGCCGTCTCCCTTCAGCTGGTTTTATTATGTGAGGGAGGAGGAGGAGGAGGAAGAGGAAGAGGAAGAGGAGGAGGAGGAGGAAGAGGAAGAGGAGGGAGGAGGGAGGAGGAGGAGGAAGAGGAAGAGGAAGAGGAAGAGGAGGGAGGAGGAAGAGAAAGAGGAGGGAGGAGGTGGGAGGAGGAGGAGGAAGAGGAGGGAGGAGGAAGAGGAGGGAGGAGGAAGAGGAGGGAGGAGGAGGAGGGAGGAGGGAGGAGGAAGAGGAGGGAGGAGGAGGAAGAAGAGGAGGGAGGAACAGGGAGGAGGAAGAGAAGGGAGGAAGTAGAGAAAGAGGAGGGAGGAGGAGGAGAAAGAGGAACAAGGAGGAGGAAGAGAAAAAGGAGGAGGAGGGGGAGAGAATGGAGGAAGAGAGGGAGGCAGGAGAGTGAGGTAGAGAACAGAAATAAGGAGGGAGGAGGTGGGAGGAGGAGGAGGAAGAGGAGGGAGGAGGAACAGAAGGGAGGAAGAGGGAGGAGGAAGGAGGAGGAAGAGGAGGAGGAGGAGGAAGAGGAAGAGGAGGGAGGGAGGAGGAGGAAGAGGAGGAGGAGGAAGGTGATTACTTTTACTAACTGATTACTTGTTTGTGTCGTCAGTATAAAAAATGTATTTTACGAGTTTGTCAGAAACATTTCTCACAGGTTTAAAGTAATAAAGTAACTTTAATTAAAGTACTTAATTAAAGAAACAGCTCGTTAATCTACATTAATCTACTAACGTGAGCAAAACACGAGCTTATTTTAATGAACTAGTTAGTTAAATGGCATTTTCCTAAACTTTAGCTAAGCTGAGATGTACTATAGTCGTTAAAGTTACAGTTAAATATCTGTTTTAAATTAGATCAGCAGTGACTGGCTGACTGCAGCTTCCAGTAACAAGATGGATATGTTGCTGTGATTTATTTATAAGATATTTA